TTTGTAAATATCTCTAAAACGGCTAACTCTACCTGTAAAATCTATTAAAACTCTTTTAAGAGAATTATATGGCCTGCGATTTTTATTTGAAGCATGTTTTTGTCAAATCCATATTTCGAGAATTATTAAGCTACAAAGCTCACTATCTACAGTTTTCGTTGAATATATCGTAGACGGCTAATGTAATGATGGATATTGTCAAACTTTTAAAGCACACATTATCATATATTTCATACATTGTTTTTTGTGTAGTGGATATAACGATTTGAAAGTGGAAGTGGAAGTGTTGAAAATTTATCTGGATATTTCTTCATGGACAAACTGTATTACAGTAGAACCATCCTAAGTTGGATCAAAATATTACAGCCATAAATTATTTTACTGCTGACAGTTGCCCAGCGACCCTGTAAAATACTTATAATAATCCCACCTTTAGAAACGTAATAATTTCCTATGCAGTTGTCGTTGACCTTCGAACCTAAAACGGTTTTTATTCTTAATTTTGGTTGTTTTTTTTTTAATTTCAATTTTTTTCTTTTAATATTTTATAAAAATTATTTGTTATTACAAATAATTAAGTTTTGCAAATAAATAGTATTTAGAAGCAATTACTTTATTATAATATTCTTTATTGAAGATACCCAAGCAACACCTAAAGTTGCGGGAACGTATCTATAAAAACCACGATAAAGTGGCCCTCTACAATAGGCTTATATGACAGCTGCGTTGCCGCCACTAAAATGGGGAATAGCCGGGTAGTGTTTCGGATAGTCCCGGCCTCTATAGATATGACTATGTTTTAGTTACTATAAAGGATCGGAGTAGTGGCGGGTACTATCAGGCGGGAAAAATCCTATGCGTAAGACTGGGGTAGCGTTGAAATCAACCACCTCTACTACACCTCTGGCTCTGCAGTCGTGTGGTGGAGTGGGTGGTGTTTGTGTATTGACAGATGACAGGCAAATATTGATTTGGGGGGTGTCAGGGCTGAAACGGAAGCGTGACGTTAAGTTTATGTATATTGGTGACTTGGTTGTATTCAGTTGTGTTTTCATTTTTAATTGATCTAGTTGACCACTGTAAGTTTGTTTTCCCATTATAAATTTGTGCTTTTTGAGCTGTTATTTTATTCTTTTTCCGCTGTTATTTTGTGCTTTTGTAATAATTGGCATTATTATTGGAAAATATAAAGAATTTACCAAAAGTTCTAAAAAAAGTATTTTAATGTTTTAAATTAGAAATTAAAAAGAAACACACGTATAAAAATAAAACAAACAATCAGGTTATTAATCTAGTCAATGGCTACATTGATCGTGACATTTTTAAAAATACAACTATCACGTAAATTTTGGTTTATATAGAGAGGAGACAGAAAGAAAGGCTCTCTAGTTGCAGACTCTCTAGTGCGGACTAAGGTCCAGAACTTTCGCCGAGGGCGAAAGCTCTCGTTTTTTGGGACTCTTTAAGTCCCAAAACAAAGTAATGTGTAAAGTAAAGTTTTTGTGCAGCGATTTGTGAATTATGGGTAAATATCTTTAACTTATTTTTAAAGTGTTTTGTTTGATAATATTTAATTGATTTACATATAAATGCCAATTTTACATTTTCGTCCCGAATTATCATATTTATCTTATACATATTTTTATATTATTATGTAGTCAAAGTTTTGCAGTGTTGTTTATAATTGTTAATAAGTCCGAACTGTATAGTTCAATGAAATGTTTATCTAGTGTCATAATTATTTATTTGAAGTTTGGATATATTAACAAGTAGTGCTTTATTCCCTAAATGTAATTTTATTCATTCTTTCTTAAGACTATTAGTCAAATTTTGTACTTACTGTAAATATACATTTGTTAATGTTTTAATACTTATTATTAATCTTTCCCCCCTTTCCAAACCAGTAAAATATTCCGAGCATTTGAGAAGCCTCGGCTTTTCTATTCCCTTAGGACTAAAAGAGTCTAAAACTAGTTGCCAATTTTTGTTCTTTTACTTTAACTTTTTTTATTATTTTTATTTGCCACTGGTGAATGGAGGTTCCTTCTGGACTCCAGGACCCTTTGGCTGGTGACGGTGCTGCCCTAATCCCTTAATAGTATATTAACAACAGTAGCTAAAGACCTATCAGTAGTTACAAATGGGTTTTAGGCTAGTCGGTTGGTATACTTTTTCTGGTGTTAGTTTGTGCTTTTTCCTGGTAATTATAGCCAAATGATACTACGTCAGGATGACCTATTGTAGCGTGGAGGCGTAGCTTTATGAATTTAAAGAATCAGCTGATCGAAAACAGTGCACGAAAATAAATTGTAATCTACTCATAGCCAATCAGATAACAATATTGCACCCCACAATACATCATGCGCGAACAATAACGCCTGTCTGCCCAAATCCTTTTTTGTTGTAAATTAAAAGGTAAATAAATGTACTAAAATTCGGTTCTTACTGTATTTTGTGATACATTTTAACCCGTCTAGAAAAAATGATTTATTTTAAAGAATTTTTAATTCATATCTACTTAATTATCTGAAATAATTTAAAAAAACATCTTTTTAATTTGTAAGCTGTTTGGATCAAATAAAATGGACAACATACAAAGAGCCTGGCACTACAATATTCGTGGATATTAACTGTATTACTAAAGAAGCCAAACTAGAATTGTAAATATCATCGGTTTAAAATAGAACGACAAAGATTGGCACATAAGGTACTTGTCACTATAAAGTTGTAAAATCATAGTTTTTGAAACTCTACAGTGGCCTTTAATCAAAAACTGTCAAGCACCAACAGGAACTATTTCGCTGCCTATGTTTCCACTTAACTGCTACGATACTTTAAAGATCCAAGCGATGGTCACTGGAATTATTCTGGGACCTTTTTACCTACTTACTTTATTTAGGCATGTTAGTGGCACTGATAGGTAGCATTAACTGATTCACTGGTACTATATAGTTTTCGCTATTATAGAGTAACAACAAAAAGATACTTCCAGTTCCAGTAACTATCCAAATGCTGCTTTGACTATTCTGAGATCTTTTTGCCTCTCTATGTACTCAGTTACTTTATTTAGAGATATTAGTGGCACTGGTGGGAGGCAGTAACTGATTTACTGATACTATATGGTTTTGGGTGTTTACAGTTCCAATAAATAGTATAAGGTGTAGTAACAGTTACTTCAAAAGAACCATTAAAGTAGTCATATTCAATAAAGTAGCAATATTAGTACCAGGAACTAAGGTTTCGTAGAAAAACCTAAACCGAAAGGATCTGGTACCATGAATGTAGGTAAAATATAAAAAATTTTTACGAAAAAACTGTATTTTTTAACAAATTCATTAAATTTCGGCATTCCCTTGTATAGTTTTAAAGTAGATATAATGGAACAAAATGCATCTTTAAACATACATTTTGTCATCAAAGTATTGTTAGCTTCCAGTATTTATTACATAAATATTTGCTAGACACTCCCTGTAGTATTTTTGGATGTGGTGCGTCTTTCACTGACACAAGATATTCACTAATATTTTGATAAGTGGACAGACGCAGTTTTAACAAGGAAGAAAGGGAAATATAGACTGGCATTGAGAATTGAGACATTCATGATTAGCTGTTCAACCATTATTGATTAATAAAGTTTATTTTTGTAAAGTGAATTTCTATTACCCCTTAGCTAATAGTATCATTGTTTTCAACATGTATCCCCAGGGGTATCAGAAAAAAAGTATCTACAATTGTAGACTTTTTAGCATAAAAAATATGTATCTCTCGTACAAAGGTTTTACCTGTTAAAAAATGAACTCATTGACAAATAATAATTAAGGTGTATACAAATAAAAAGCAATCAATTACGGTTAAGGGCAGTTTCGCCACTTTCACCATGTTAACCGCATACCATACAAAGGTGTTAAACCAAAATAACGTTAAGTTTTAACATTAACAAAAACCAAACTACACACAATTTTACAATACCGTACCATTTCAGATTGTTTCTCACTCTATAAGCAGCATTTGAAAAGAAAAAAAAGTTAATTCTATATAGACTCAAATAAAGTACATAATAACCTTCTCTCCGTATTCGCCGTCGATCGCCACCATTTCTCTGAGGGTTTTTCTGTATGTTTAATTAATCTAAAAAATTAATCGAAACATAAAACAAAATTGAATACAGTAAAGGTAGAAATGGTATTAACACAATCTAAAATATGCTGATGATAAAAAAATGCGTTTTCATTTCAGTTAAAAGTGTGATATTTAACAAACATTTAACAATTTAACTTATTAGCCTGTATGACTTTAAAGTGAATTTTCGGTATCACCCTGTATAGTTACAAAAATGGCACAATGAAACAAAACGTTTACTTTGACTCCCTCAAGAGCATATATTCAAATTTCTGTCGATGTGGAAAAACCATCAAAAGTGTGCGATATCCTTTATCAGACAGAATCAAAAATGAAAACCGAAACGTTGTTTATAAGATGTACCAACAAAAATAAATTGTCTGAAAATTATATCTGTCATATTAGAAATAACAACTTGCCAAAATTACCTCAACATTTAGGCATTTAATAATAGAAACATATTGTGTGAACAGTCTCATATTATCAGCAAGTGATAAACATTTTTAAGACGGTGTAGAATTAAAAATATGGAATCAGAAAAACCACTTCAGATTGTTAATTTAGAATTTGTACGAAACGTGGATATTTGCCAAAAGAAACCTTACCAAACAGTCTTGACAAGATGAAACAAAAAAAAGTGTTACGTATTACTACGAGCTGTGGAACGGTATATAATTTAGTGTAGGCCGAGAATAATGAAGGTTATCATGAAGGTTAATTATCGTTCAACTGGCAACACCGTTCCGTACACTGAGTCCATCACGCACCGCGCGATCGGGGCTCGTTGCTTTGTATTTTCGGTCGGTTTATAGCTCGGGATCGAACACAAAGGGATTGGCTCGTCTAGAGGGGGGGACGGGTTTGTAACAGGCTCGTTGGAATGTTGGAATCGGAAATTTAGTTTACAGCGTTACTCGAGAAACGACGGTTGTTTATTTTTAAATATGGAGTGGACCGAAGAAACTGCGCTAAAATTGATAGAGAACTACAAATTATACAAACATTTGTGGGATCCCAAAGACAGAGAATATTTTAAAAAAGAAAAGAAAGTTGCCGGGTGGAATAAAATTGCGCGAGCCGTCGGTAAATCTGCAGAGTCTTGCAAGAAAAAAGTTGCAAGTTTATTGGCGACCTATAGAAAGGAAAGAAACAAAGTAATAAAGTCGTCTATACGAGTAGGAGCAGCAGGTAAATATTTGTAATATTTGTACATAAAATAAAACTTAGTAATGATTTTAATGTACATTATCAAGATTTTATAACCGCTTTACTTCGTGTTGTGTTAAATTTAATTGTCAAATTTCTTATTTGCGTACATCTTACTAATAAAATACTTAATATGCAGGATATTTTAATTGAACAGTAAAAGTAATAATTGCTATAGATATATTATTGTTTATAAATTAGTCTATTATTTTTTTATGTTTAGGTGAAGGTCAAGTGTATAGTACCCGCTGGTTCGCCTATGAAGCTTTCCAGTTTCTAGAAGAAAGATACGTGCCCAGGATGGTAAGCCATATTAATTATTATTTATTTGAGTCTTGATTTTGCTATGAATCGGCCCTTTTTTTGATATAGTATTCTGCTAATAGAGATGAACCATCGAAAGTTTGGTACACCCACATGACCGCTCGTCGGGTGCGTCTGTTTACATTGTAACCATAGTAACAATCATTCTGTACATTAGACAGTGTCGTAGAGCTGGTGGTTTTGTTTTGTCAAATAGTATTTAGCAATGTATAAATTGAGAGAGTTTTAAATTTGTGTTTTTGGATTAAAGTAAATAGTAAGTTTCTTACAATTTATTCTACAGGGTGTAACAAAAATATGTACAGTAAATTTAAGCATAGTTTCTGGAGTCGAAAATAAGTCGCTTTTATAAAAAACGGATTGAAAAATTTACAGGATGTTACAGTCAAAATTTTAGAAGTGATTTTTTGCCCTTTCTCTAAAAAGACTTAAATTATTTTTATGAAAATTTACATAGAATGTTAGTAAATAGTGACCAATAAAATGAAGTCAGTTGCGTTCAAAATTTTTTAATTCTACAGGTTTGTAGAAGGGGTTTGGCCTGTCTTAATCCTGTCCTAATCCTGGATAGTTATTCCCCTATTCTTGACTCTTTTTGCATTTTTAGAAGGCCATTCGTGGCCTTATTTGAGTTTTCTTAGGGTTCGTCGACCTTTTTATTGCCCCTCTGATATCCTTCATGGCCTGGTACCTATACTCGGACAAAATATTGAAGAAGGTGATTCCTCCCTGTTCACGCACAACAATCATACTATACCAGAGCATAATGAATGGAATCACGCGCTTAAAACTTCAGAAGTTATCGGTATTACGTGCCAACTAGTCATAAATGCATGTTTATTGCCAAAATGTATTACGCCAGTGGCGTATATAAACTATTGGCAAATTAAATGCGGTAATAGTAAATAATATTAGATGAAAGTAGGTTGGTTATCTATTTATGTAGTAATAATCATTTGTTTATAATTTTGTTTTGTTTATTGTTTAAATATGTAAATATTATGCCAGTGGCGTAAAAACACTATTGGTGCGCCTTAAAACTGCAAAAGGTATCATTATCATATCAAAATGAACTCTTCCAGTGTCGCAGAAATACTATATTGGCAAATTAAATGGGTATTTGTGAATATTACTAGATGAAAGCAGGTTGGTTATCTATTTTTGTTATAATAATTCATCTAAGTTTATAATTGTATTTTGTTTATTATAAAAATATGTAAATTAGCCTTTTTCCTGGGAAGATTTAAAAAAGATCCGCTAGGAGCAGCACCGGTGGGGGGTACATATATTTTGAATTTTCTATTGTCACGTTATACGTGTTTTTATAAAGAAATGTCATGATTTACGTGTTTGAAATAATTGTGGGACTATCTATGTCCCGGGGGTTACATAACAAAATATATGAATTTGGGACTCAGTCACATTAACACTATTTAGCCTTAAACTTGGCTTCGTAGCCCTTAACTGTATAAGGGTTCTACTCTTGATGTTAGAACCTGACATGTCTCTGTAAAAGGGCTGAAGGAAACACAATGTTTTCTCAAAACAAATATAATATTAAAATTACAACGATTATATAAAATATGTCTCAACTCGACATACACAACTATAGGCTCAATATAATATAAAAGACAACAAAATACTTACCAACTCCGCTAATCTTTGGGGCACATGTCACAACCCTTAACAAACTATTTAAAAATGTAATTATTTGAAATACTAAAAAACGACTTTTAATTTAAACTAAGAAGATTATAAGCTGGAGCTGCTACAGGGATTCTCCTGCAAGGGGGACCTCTTATGGGAAGGATCCGTTCCCTGTGGAAAAAGCCTCGTGCATCCCCTCGACATTACCTTTATAACTTTCTCATAGTTTATTGTTATTAAAACTAATGTTTAATAATTATTAAATAACCAACCTTGCACATTATTGCTATTTAAAACAAATCGTTGACATAATTAAACAAAGTTTTATGTACAGGATGTTATTTAAATAATTAATTAATATTAGGAAAAATATGAATTTATACGAATCGTGACACTATTGATAACAACGTCAAATGTATAGATTTATAATGGAATTAAGATGATGTACCTGGAGCGAAATTGAAATGTGCAAAAGTGCAAGATCAGAGGCTAAATAATTATTTAATCGGGATTCTTGATTACTATTTGCATTTTTATTACTAATTTGTCCAGTTAGTGATTCAACATCAATAACAGTAGAACAGATAAGTTTTTGACGTTTATTTTTTCCAGTGCTGGAGTCCTCTTCAATACATCGTTGCTGTCTTTTACGTTTGATAATTAAAACCACAAAATTTTATATTTCATACACAATTAAAAAGAAGTTTAAGTTTATTATTTACTATCAATAATGATAATATGTAGACTGATATAAAATATAACCTCTTTAAATAAAGAATTACTAACCTTTGAAACTGTCGCTGGCAATGGATTTGGGTTTTCTATTGTTGGTCCATTTGAATTAATAAAATGTCTTGTACAAATAAAGGTATGTTTTTTTTTATTTTTTTAACTGTTAAATCTGCCCTTCGTGATAAATATATCCACGCCAAACACTTATTTTTGTCAACTTATGGTTTTATAAAAGGCACACATTTTACACCATCTTGCTTGTAACGATTGTCAGACGTACAATTAGCAAACGTACAATGTTTTGTAGACATGACAATTTGTTTTTTAATTTTATTTATCACAATATTTATTTATTCTAATAATAATAAAACGTACGTTTGACGTTGTTGTCAATAGAGAATTCAAAACATATGTACCCCCCACCGGTGCTGCCCCTAGCGGATCTTTTTTAAATCTTCCCAGGAAAAAGGCTAATTAAGCTTGGTATCACTTACTTGAATTCTAAATCTACCCAGCTAGCACATAAACATCCCATCTACGTTAATAAGCTGCAATTTTAGGCTCTTTAAGCTCGCACGCAATGTACTGTAAATGTAACCCTATTATCCCTGCAACTACCGAATGTCCGCAACGGCAAGACTTTTATAGCACATCCCGTAGAAGTTATAAAGTGAAGTTCGGAAAACATCACACTAGCACTTTTACGGTACTTACCCCGAAAGTTGCTCTGAAACTTTCTATAGATGTTATAATGTGAATTCCTTCTACAGCAGTATACAGTGTGTCCACGGATGGACTTAACAATACTTGTAAAAATATTTATTTTAAATTTTAAAGTACTTCTTCATAATTTCTTTTGCTTGTTAAATAAATACGATTAACGTTGAGAAATTATGAAAAATACCTCTTTTGAAAAATTTAAAATAAATATCTTTGCAAGTATAGTTATGTCCATCCTTGGATACACTATATTCAAAATAGTATATTAAGGATATAGTAAAATCTGAAGAAAACAAAATAAAAAAATTGTATAAATTTATTATTAAAAAGCTATTGAAATCAAATACCAATATCATACAAGTAGAGGTAGGTAATAATACAGGTAATGCAATTACATATGTGTGATACCATAAGGTAGCTATAAAACACTGACAAATTGGACAAAAATAGGTATAGAGGGTATATAAGGAATATCTCAAAAGTTCACTAGAATCAAAAACATTGAACGCTTGCACGAAAGAGTATAATAAGGTACCTATATTGCAAAGGTTCACTAGTAGCTAAAATGGTGAACGATTGTACAAAAGTAATAAAAGAAGTGTATTTATATAAGGTATATTTCAAAGGTCACTAGATTTTTATTAAGATGGCAGTTGTACGATGCTAAAAAAATATATTTGCCTACAACTGGTACTAATTATAGTTTTAATACGATATAACTTGAATATTGATAAATGTAAAGTTATAAGGTTTAATAAAACAGCTAATATCATTATGCATGATTATGTCACTGCAGGTTCTGAACTATAAATGATCTTGGTGATATTTTTGACAAAGGCCTATCGTTTATTCCTCATTTTATTAGATTCCTTGTTCCTGCCAGACTTACTAGGCAGATTAAACTATTTTATGTAAATACTCATAGAACTAACTGTGGACAGAATTTATTTGTAGACCGACTGATGTCCAATTACAATAAGTATTTTTCAAATTAAGACATTTTAGTAGGTTTTTTTTAAGCGTCGACTTTCATTATACTATATTGACTTCAATTTTATACTATGACAATTTTATTAATTTCTTTTTTATTTTATTTTAATTGATATTTTAAATGTACCATTTAGAACTTTATGTATCTGTAGCGTACTGTAAACAAATAGATAAATAAATAATGTGAACTTAATTATATAGTTTCTTCCTAAAAATAACCTTGTAGATAATAAATTTACTTGTTTATTATTAAAGAAAATAATATGTATAAAGAAAATGAAAAATATGCTCGTTTAAATCGTTGCACCTATTTTTAGTTGATTTTTACTTACTTTGTTTTCCTAAATAAATAATAACCTTTATTTTGATTTTTACAAATTTGATACTTAATGGATGTTCAACTTATACAGAACAATGTTTTTAGCATGATATTCTGCTATGAAAGAAAAAGAAATAATTTCAGATGTTATATATTCTTCTTCAACCAATTCTGTATTATTAACTTTAGCTTCTAAAATTCCTGACATTTTTACTAGAATTATAATCCACCACAAAGAAAACCTACAACACAATATTTTTAAAATTTATTTTTAATGATTAAAATATTATTACACTAGGGCGACCATACTTACATCAATTTTGCTGTATTGTAAAGCATTTTTAAAGTTTGTCCAGCAATTGGTATTGTGCAGCAAACGTACAGCAAAATGGCATAGGTATATGTCCAGTGAAATGTTGTATTTATCCACCAAAACGTCACTAGTGTCCAGCAATGGTAATACTTAATTTACTGAAATGTAACAAATTTAAATGTTATTTATCTTTAGTGAACTACATGAGCACTTCTAACTGCCGTCCTAGCAAGAAAGGTTTTAATCGCAAAATTATCA